TGGTCCCAAGCAGCTCAAAATTTGGGAAAGGTTCATGTCAATATGAAAAAGCCTTAGCTGAAAACGACGCTGATTTGGGAGAACGTTTTGCATCATTTGATATAGCAAGTGAGGGAGTCAAAAGTTCGATCTTGCCTGAGGGTTTCAATTATGTTCCAAAGTCCAATCGGAAACTGCCCCAGGTATATAGTGAATGTCTTTTAGTCATGTTATTAATAAGGGGCTTGAATTTGGTAGTCCGATGCCTCCTCCCCATCTTGTTTTCGGGTTTTAGAGTTTATTCCAGAAGGAAAAATCACGATACAGCAGGCCGTAGACATGATAAGGTCTTATCAACTTGAAGGAAAGACGGTGTTCCAACTCGCTGAGGACTATGACCCTGATAAATCCATGGTTTCCTCACGTTCTTCATTTTGAAGTCCGTAGGTTGCCTCTGTATGTAGATATTTTGCATTGTTTGAACGTGACGACTCCGACGTTTGGGTACCACCAAGAGGGTCAAAGGATACGAAGACTCTACTTGACACTCCTATATACGAAGAAGACGAGCAAATAGCAGATGAGGGGACTTCTCGTCGTCTTCGGTTGCACGTACCCAAATTTACTTTGGACCAATGATTTTTTCACCTGCATACATTTTGAGAATAAATGATGCGTTTAATTACCTTCCCCGAAAGTTTCTTTATTACCGCTTTTACATAGTTGTGCAATTTTTTAGAAAGTATGCAACGGCTTTTTGTCTGGAGGCCTTTGACACTGTTTAATGGGTTGATAATCCGCGGTAGTAAATTACTGAATCAGGAATTTGAAACGCAAAACGGACTGTACAATGCGTTGCAGCACTACATGTGTAAGAACAACGACTTTTTACTCACTGAATACAATCGGCTCTCGAGAGTTGTAGCTTCTGGACGGACAAGTGAACTTAAGTGAGTTACTTTGACATTTATTGCGTCAATTCGTTCTGACATAGTCGAGATGGAATGCCATTGTGTAATCAATTTGTGACAGAGCAAACTTGGACAGGTTGTCCAAAATCAAACTATTAATGGACCTGAGTCAACGTCTGCAGGCTCTAGTTGCTTTGGATGTCGATTCAATAAAGCTGTTGCAAGGTTGGTAAATCTTAGCGGAACATAGACTACCGCTGCTCTGACGTTTTGTTTTTAGCATAAAAACAAATTTGTTAATTTTCTCGGTAAATACAATAATTATTGGGTATTGTTATTTCCTTTATGCGTCAGGTTTTTGGCTTTCTCCTTTTGCTTCCTCTTTGTTGGAAACAGTCCAACGTTGAGATTCTATTTGCTAGCAGAATTGGATGATGGATCTGACCCTGTCTTGCGAGAAATTGCTGCCAAAGAATTCGCCTCTCGTTGGGAAGCAATGAGGTCGTTGGAGAATCAGGTATCGAAAATCCATCTTCTCGACAATCACTTTAGATTATGGAACTACTGCTGCCACCCGACCCAACAGCAAAATGCAACTCAGTGCGCCTGCAGCTGATAGCTGGGGCTGGGGGTTTGGAGGCAGCAATGTTCGCTCGTGACCTCTTCGTCATGTACGAAGCTTATGCCTACCACCGTGGTTGGCGTCTTGCATCTATTACTGACCTCGGAGCGAGGGAGTCTGCCGTTGGTGCAGACAGTCCGATCCACCATGTGGAAGTTCGTGTGGAGTCGTCCAGCCCCATAGATCCCCTGTATCCTTATCTCCGATGGGAAGCTGGTGTACACCGTGTTCAGCGTGTACCACTTACTAGCAAACTAAACAAGATCCACACCAGCACTGTCGCTGTTACCATACTCCCGGTTGTCGAAGAGATAGGTTACTTATTTTGTTTTAGTGGCAACGCTTCATTATAATCCATTGATAGACGTGTAGACTATCGGTAACGTAAAGCGCCTTAATAATCTTCATGCTCTTATCTGTAAGCGCCGTAGGTAGCTAACTTTTGGCTACATCGCTTTGCTCGATGCACCTATTATCGGCTGTGATTTTTCACATATAGTCGGTACTGTTTTTAGTTAGGTAACAACTGTAGGTATGCACCTACGCGAAACTGGTACTTGATTGCGATGGTAGGGGAATAAACAAATTAGTGAGTGCACTGATCATGCGTTTGTCAGTAGTGAAAGTACCCATCGTCACTGCTGTAAATGTGCAGAACGATCATTAAAATTGGAGCATGCCTAAAACCGTTTGGCGTGTTAGAATCACATGGTTTACAGCCCCAACGAACAATTTAGTAGATCTTGCTCTTGGGTAAAAAGTGACTGTGACAATTAGCTTAAGAGAAGTGAACATCATTTTTCAATACACTTGGTAATTGCTGTCAGTTGAAGTGTTCGTTATGGTAAAGGGGTTCGCTATACAGATTTTTTGCAAGTATATGCGGCACCTATAGTGTTCTATCGGTCTCCAACCGAAGGTAGTACAGACAGACGTCATTCATTTACAGCATGCAAAGTCAAGAAGTAGGCGTCGGTTTCCCTCTCAGCCAATTGAAATGAGATGATCTATACCGGTTTCTCATTTCGATGCTTTCCATCTTGTAGGTGGAAGTGGAGTTGGATCCGGAGGACTTGGAGTGGGAGGTGTTCCGTGCTTCCGGTGCTGGGGGCCAACACGTGAACAAGACGGAGAGCGCAGTACGTGTGCGTCATAGGCCCACGGGGCACGTCGCTGCCTGTCAAGCTGATCGCTCTCAGCATGCCAACCGGGGAAAAGCCCTTCAGTTACTCAGAGCCAAGTTGGTCTTTGTTTTTCTTCCTATTCACTAGCCCAATTTATTGCTGTCTATTCTGCACTATTCGACAGCAAAGTTCTTTGTATTTATGAGGATTTGCGGTATGTTTAGAAAGGGTGGGGAATAATTTTCTCGTTTTCTTGTTTAGATCGGATCAAAGTCACGTCATTTTCTTCTATTGCTCTTATTTCCCGCAAGACGTCTTCCAAATCGTTGACACTTGTCTTGAGCATTTGTTAGGTGTTTTTTCAAATCTCTCAATTTTTCAAGGCTTCATCATTTTCTTGAAAACTTGAGTGTGTCGGCCAATCTCATCTGTGTCACTTCCTTTTTTCAAGAGATCTTTTGCTTGGTTTGTAGGGATCTCTAGTCTTGCAGAAGGCATCTAGCCGTATATCACTTCTGCGATTATGGCTAACTAGGTTCTAGGTTAATTACTTGGAAATTTTCAAGTGTCTGCTTCTTTTCGAACATCCTATTCTGATAAAGCTTACTCTAAGCATGTTCATTTTGGTATTTCATGGTTTACGTCAGTGAATTTTAAGCTTCAGATCAACCTGAGTTTTCTGACCCTTGGCACATCCCTGAAGACGTGTTTGGTTAGTTTTGTAGAATCGGAAACCGATTTATTTTCCTAATTTTGCTTTAACAACATCACTGCACGGGGCCTCACTGACCGTTTCATCCGGTGCACGTTTCTAAGCAATTCATTTTGTTGTAGAGAAATTTTGCTTGGGTTTTTACGTGATGTCATGCTCACAGTTCCGCAGGTCGAGGCTGAAAATGTGCTTGTGGAAAACCTCTGGGCAAATTATGTTTTCATGAGCCTATGTTGGATTTCTCCAAACGTATTACCAGCTCACTCGCGGTGTAGAAAGAACATCTACCATTTTTCTTCCAATGATTCAGGCTTGCAAACGAAGTGGCTAGACGGCAGGTGGAGACTGAATTGGTCGAAAAGCGTTCTCAAATAGGCTCTCTGGCTCGATCGGATCGCATTCGCACTTAAAACTACCAACAAGACTGCATTACCGACCATCGTCTTGGACGCTCCTGGAGTGGATTGGCCACTGTCATGCGTCAGGGCCTTCCCGTGGTGAACGAAGCTGCATTCGCTCTTGATATAGCCTATAAACTCACTGCGCTTGCTTCTCTTGATAAGCCGTACTTTTTATGCTGATTTACTATTATTCGGTTCATAAGCATATAGTTTTCCTGGATTGGCCTTTGCACTGCATAGCACATTTGACACGGACTAATAGAAATTGCGCTACAAAGCGTCAGTTCTGA